GAATAATTAGGTTTAAATTAAATTTAAAAGATCAAATTAAATTAAAAATCAACAATTTTAAATTTAGAATGTTTCGAAAAATTTGGACTTTTGATTAGATTCTTCTTTCTCAGTGTGCCTCCGGAACATCTGAGAAAAAAATCGACTATTATAACATTAATTTTATTTGATCCTAGTTAGCTTTATCCACATCTTTCCGGGTTTTCCATCAATATTAAATTTAAAGCAACGTTATTTCGTTATCAATCGAGAAACGATACAATAATTGTAAACCCAATTTTTCGCCTTTTTGCCGAAACTTAACGCCCTCCAAAAAAATTTTTGGAAGCCCGGGATTCAAATCACGTCAACGAATTTTTTTGGGGGGAGCAGGAACTCGAGAAAAACCATATTCTATCTGGTGCCCTTCCTACTTCTCCTCGGGAAAAGGAGCAACAGCTAGCCGCCGACGAGGGGGGAAGGCCCGATTTGTGCAAATATGTTTATGGGAGGGTTCCGGAGCTCGAGAGAGAGAGAGAGAGAGCGAGAGAGAGCGAGAGAGAGCGAGAGAGAGAGAGCAAGAGCCCCAAAAAATGTGCGAAAAATGAGATTCATGCCCCGAGGGCCCACCCCGGAAAATTTCGAATTTTTTGGAGCTGTTCGATTAGCATTAAATATTGGAATTTTTGAGGCTGAGATTTGAGCTCGACCTTGCCGTCGCTGTTCCTTTAAAAACATGATCCTTACTGGCCAGCTAGCAGAGACAATTTGAGGAGTTTGGTCCCCACGATCCCCATGGCAAGCTAGCCGAGGTAAGTTGAGGAATTCTGGGCACTCCACAGCCCTGCGGCAGGCTAGCACTTACGCTTTGCGGAATCCCCACCGCTTCCACAGTCTACAGGGCAGGCTAGCGGAGGCCCTTTGAGGATACAAACTAGCAGCTGGCCTTGTTTTCCAAATCCGATCACTTTACACCCGTTTTTTCCCAATTCCGGGTCGCGTGAACTTGCCTCACAAAAAAGGGGATGCGCACGCGGCGACGGCAAAAATGACATTTCCCCGCCCGGGCCGAATTTCGGCACACACGTCGGCCCGAGGGGGGCAATCGGATTTCAGGGTAGGCACGGCGCGACGCCCTTCGCCCCCCTCAAACAAAACCCACGGGAGGAACAATTCCCGGTCTGCAGCTGTTCCTGGTCTTTGGCTTCAATGGTCCTTTAAAAAGGGAAAGAAACCCTGCTAGCCACCCCTTTCCGCCAACAATCTCTGCTAGCTTGCCCTCTCCTCTTCCTCAACAATCTCTGCTAGCCTGCCCTCTCCTCTTCCTCAACAATCTCTGATAGCCTGCCCTCTCCACTTCCTCAATAATCTCTGCTAGCCTGCCCTCTCCTCTTCCTCAACAATCTCTGCTAGACTGCCCTCTCCTCTTCCTCAACAATCTCTGCTAGCCTGCCCTCTCCTCTTCCTCAACAATCTCTGATAGCCTGCCCTCTCCTCTTCCTCAACAATCTCTGATAGCCTGCCCTCTCCTCTTCCTCAACAATCTCTGCTAGCCTGCCCTCTCCTCTTCCTCAACAATCTCTGATAGCCTGCCCTCTCCTCTTCCTCAACAATCTCTGATAGCCTGCCCTCTCCTCTTCCTCAACAATCTCTGCTAGCCTGCCCTCTCCTCTTCCTCAACAATCTCTGATAGCCTGCCCTCTCCTCTTCCTCAACAATCTCTGATAGCCTGCCCTCTCCTCTTCCTCAACAATCTCTGCTAGCCTGCCCTCTCCTCTTCCTCAACAATCTCTGCTAGCCTGCCCTCTCCTCTTTCTCAACAATCTCTGCTAGCCTGCCCTCTTCACTTCCCAATTTCCGCAAAGAATCCCTGCTAGCTTGCTCATCATTTTGTCAAAAATCCCCTTCTCCACCCTTTCCATTCCCTCATTTCCGGGCGTTTATCCCCCCGGTGGCCCCAAATGGGCACCTCCTACCGCTTTGTGAGGGTGCAAATTTGGGGTTGGGACGAACAAAAAAAATGAGAAATGAGGGGCCCAAAAAGGACCCCAATTATCGGGCTGCTGGGCCTGAAATTCGGGGCCAAGATGCGAAATTTCCGCACCGCCCCTGAGCAGCTACTTGGGCGAATCAGGAAGTTTTTGCAATTCTAATTACGGGCAGGCTAGCGGAGATTGTTGAGGAATTTTCAGGAAATAAGCTCTAAAAAATTTATGTTTCATGAATGATTTGCGCTTGGCATGATTCTCGTTAATTAATGGGGGATGAATTGTTTTGTCTGTTACGTTACGGAGCAGATTTTTGGAAAATCAATTAATTTAGTAATTTTGCTATTGGAAATGACTAAATTACGAAAAAAATGTCCAACAAGTAAAAATATTGAATTTTATGATTAAATCACAATAAAAACTTTTGAAAAACTGAAAAATAATTTTAATTTTTGAAAACTATTTTTTAAATTTTTTTACAACATTTTTTGCTTCTATAAAACTATTGAATTTATTGAAATTTGTAAAACTTAAAACTAAGCCTTAAAAAATTTATTTTGTAAAAAATTTTTTAATTTTTAGCGAAATAATTTTTGAGGCATTGTTTGCCAGGTTTCCGCTTCTCCTTAATGCGTGGTTGCATTTTGCCAAGTAAACTCCTAGATTTTCGACTTTTTATCGTCCAGAATTTGTGTGTTTTATCATTTCATTGTTACAATTGGAAAGTTACAATTCATTAATCGTTTTCCGATAATGGCGATAATGATAATTCTGATGTTTTTAAAATATAAATTCAACGAGTTTTACGACAATCTTTTATATTAAATTATATTTGTATCAAGGACGTAACTTTCGATTGCTTGCCCTAGCGATATCATTAATGCGTTAAATATCGTAGATTCAAAAATTGGGACTGGATTGTTAGCGGGGGGGGGGTGGTTAATTTTTATTCTTCCGCTTATACCTACCGGCCAAAAATATCAATAAAGTGTTTTATAGTATTTTTCGTAGTTTTTGATCGTTTGAAATTCCTAAAAAATGTTTTTAAAATGTTTTTATGTATTTTTTACCAAAAGCAAAAAATTTCCTAAAGTTTTGGAGTCTTTTTGTCCTCTTCTTTTTCATTATCTGCTTTCTTAAATTCTCCTACCAAAAAATGCGTAGAAGCTGGCGCGGGCGCAGGCGTTGCTCGCCTTCCTCCGGAATCTGCCCTCCTCGAAAAGGTCGCACCAGGGGTCAGCATGTGGTCTGCTACCCTCACGCTCGATGCCCCTCATCTCGACAAGTACCCGGGGACCCTTGTTCTCGTCGACGTACGGTAGCGGGGGCGGGGCATAGCTTTTAAAGGGATTAGGAAGCCAGTGAAATTGGGAAAATTGAAAAATAATGAAAAATTCGCAATTTTGGTCCGAAATTTAAAAACGAAAAATAAAACATTTCAAAAAACTTTTTTATGCGCGGTACGGTAGAAGGGACGCGATACAACTTTTAAAGGGTCTGGGAAGTCAGGAAAATTAGGAACATCGAAAAATCCATTGAAAAATCACGCATTTCAAAATTTGTTTATTTTCTGTGGAATTGTTAAAAAACGATATGTATGTAAATTTTTATCCTAAAATAAATGAAAGGTAAAAAAGTTATGAAAAAAGAGAGGACGTTCGACGAATTGGTATTGCGCTGCGCTGTTTCTCACCAACCCCTTAAAGTCATGAAACCTCTTTTTTATACCATAAGTTGAAAATGTGGTAAAATAATACCATCGCATTATTACTTACAAAGTACTAGAAACGCCGTCGATTCATACAAATATACGGCTTAAGAAACAGGTTCTTTTGCATTAACGGGGGGTACCAGGGCAGAACCCACTTATTTCTTTATCATTCGATTTTTCTAAGATGAAGACCGTTGGTTTAAAAAAACAACAAATCGATTTTTCGACAAAACAATAAATTTTTTGACGTTTTTTCGAAAATGTTTCGCCTAAAATATACAGGGTGTCCCAAAAAAAACGAACCATCTGGCATTTCGCCGTGTTACATCCAATCGGCCCCAAATTTGGACCAAAGGTGTATCAGCCCCTAAATAACAACAATCCGGACTTTTAACCCCGTAGCTACAGTCGTTCTCGAGTTATGACGAAAATACGGTTTTTCAGGGAATTCTGAACAATTTTTTCGGCTATCTTTTTGGACTTTGAATCGATTTGCATCGACTTCCGGCTGTGAATCCCTAATTTCGCTTAAGATCTGGGGTAATTTTGCGTTGTAAAAATCGTTTAAATCAAAGCTTATTTAATTAATTTTACTCTGGAAAAAATTTCTTAAGGTAAAGAAGGCCTACCGGATCATTTTCACTTAATGCTTAGGGGGGGTCTAATTCCACGAAAACCCTGTGAAAAATGGAAAATAAAGTTTGTTTTTGGCATAACTCGAGAACTACTGTAGCTACAGGGCTAAAAGTCAGGATTGTTGTTATTTAGGGTCTGATACCCCTCTGGTCCAATTTTGGGGCCGATTGGAGGTAACACGGCGAAATACCAGATGGTTCGTTTTTTTTGGGACACCCTGTAATTAACTTTTACTAAAAACACAACTTTACCTGCCGAGCATCCACTCATTAAAGACCAATATATTTTGGATGACCCTGCAGACTTGCGAAACCTTTTTTTCATGAAAAAAATTTAATGTTAGTAAAATTCCCTTCGAAAATAATAACGAGTACATGAAAATAAATAACAAAATAAAACATTTGTGTTAAAGAATTAGGCCAGATCCTAAAAAGAGAACAAATCAAAAGAAAACAAAAATGAAGACCGTGCTGGGGGTGTCACCAATTAAGAATCAACGTTTTTCCCCAAGCACAAAAACTTGTGAAACATTGTTTTCCCGATAAAAAGAGCTCAAAATCAAATCACAAAACTTTACACGGATTTAGCCTTAATAGATACAAATATATTAATGGGTGGTAGACAATAAAAATGCAAATCGATAAATAAACTTTTTTCATAGAGCGCTAAAAATAGTTTTCTTTCAGCTCAGACGCGTCGGATTCGTCAGAGAGGCGCGCCTCGTCTGCCAAAAATAGTTTATTTTTGTTCAATGATGAGGGTGAATTCCCTGAAGATGTATGTCATTGTTAATTTGAATATTTACAACTTTATCGATTTTGAGTTTTTTAGATTTTAATTTTTCATTTTTAGCACGATGAGGTGGACGAGCGCTCGGTGCTACGATACGAACTGGGTTTTTACGAGAAAACGGGCAAAGACTGTTATCGGTGGGTTTTTTGGGACTTTGCGGATTTTAAAGGACGATTGAAGCCATGGATTCGGACTTCCGTGCACGTTTAAAATATTCCTGTTTCAGGGGTACGCTGACGTTCGCGCTGCGCTACGATTTTATTCACCGGGTGCTGATGCTCCACGTATTGAGGGCCAACCATTTGCCGGTTGAGGTCAGCTAACAGAGATTTCCGAGGAAGAGAAGAGAGCAGGCTAGCAGAGATTGTTGAGGAAGAGGAGAGGGCAGGCTAGCAGAGATTGTTGAGGAAGAGGAGAGGGCAGGCTAGCAGAGATTGTTGAGGAAGAGGAGAGGGTAGGCTAGCAGAGATTGTTGAGGAAGAGGAGAGGGCAGGCTAGCAGAGATTGTTGAGGAAGAGAAGACGGCAGGCTAGCAGAGATTGTTGAGGAAGAGGAGGGGGTAGACTAGCAGAGATTTCACCAATTTCACCCCCAATTTTTCAGGACAAGGAGCAAACAGTGGATCCATATGTAAAAGTCTACCTCCTCCCCGACCGCCGAAATCATTGTAAAACGAGAATATGCAAAAAGACGAACGATCCAGGTATTACAAAATTTTTAGATATTTACCGTAACTCATCAATTTTAGAATTTAACGAAATGTTCAGCTTCGACGTGTCCTTCAACACGTTGTCTAGTAAAATGTTGCAGGTAATTTAATTTAGCTATTAAATTGAAACAACTACATTAAAAGTTTCGGCTAATTTTCGATTTTAACGCTGTTTTCTAGTTCACCGTCTATGATTTTGACCGCTTCACGAGGCATGGATTGATAGGTGAGTAATTTTCAGAATTAAAAATTATGATGTTTTGGAAATTTTTAAAACTAAAAAATTAAAACAAACCTTAGTTTTATTCCTTTGTAACTAGGTGAATCTATTTCATTATTCAAGTTAATCTTATTAATTACGTCAATAATTAACAAATTCAAATTTAATTTAATTTATTTAATTTTAAATTAGCTTTTATTAAATTATAATTGCTAATTATATCAAAAAATCGCGCTGAATTTAATTAATGAATTTAAATAATTTAATTGGTTTAATTGTTTAGGCAACGTAATTATGCGCGACCTGTTCGACAAGAGCGACTTATACGCGTGGACCGAGTACACGATGCAGATCGTCTGCAGCCAGGTGAGTGGGCGGGGGGGGGGGGGCAGGCTAGCAGCGATTTTTAAGGAGGAGACCGAAAAAGGCATAATTAACCGTTTTTTAACTTTAAAAATTCCGAAAATAGGTTTCCCAAAAAATGGACGTTTCATGAAAATGAAAAAATTTTAATTGTTGGTGTAATTCAGGTGCTACTTATTTTTCAAGGAAAAAAGCCATTTTCGTAGTTCTCGAACAAAAAATTATCTAGCTGTTTCTTATAAATCACATTTTTTATCGTTTATTGTTTATAAAAAAATAATTTCTGTATAAATTTTGATAAGAAAAATATTTTTTGGGAAACACTGGCATTTTCTAAATTTTTCAAAAATTGTTGATCGGTTGCCAGACGTTTATTTCTCTTTTTTTGATAAAAGCTATTTTCACGCTCTACTAAAAATGATTTTTCTATAGAAAGGTGTTTTCTTGAAAAACCCGGGTCTTTACAATTTTTTAAAAACCATTAGGACGTCGATCGTTGAAGCTAAAAATTACTAAAATTGACCAAAAACGTTAGGAATAAGTATAGTCGGGGGTTTTATAACTTTAAAAAATTCCAAAAATATGTTTCCCAAAAAATGGACGTTTCATGAAAACGAAAAAAATTTTAATTGTTGTTGAAATTCAGGTGCTACTTATTTTTCCAAGGAAAAAGCCATTTTCGTAGTTCTCGAATAAAAATTATATAGCTGTTTCTTATAAATCAAATTTTTTATCGTTTATGGTTTATAAAAAATCTATGTTTTTGTATAAATTTTTATAAGAAAAATATGTTCTGGAAAAAACTGGCATTTTCTAAATTTTTGAAAAATTGTTGATGGGTTGCCAGACCTTTCTTCTCCTTTTTTAATAAAAGCTATTTTCGCACCTACTAAAATTGGTGTTAGCAAAAAATATGTTTTCTGAAAAACGTGTGTCTTGTCAAATTTTTAAAGATGATTAGGATTTCGATCGTTGAAGGAAAAATTGCTAAACATTGACGAAAAACTTAAAACCTTAAAGACGAAAATTTTATTGTCGTTGAAATTCGCGTAATGCTTATTTTTTAGGGAAAGACCCATTTTCGTAGTCCTCTATTCTAAATCATTAAACCTATTTTTATAAAGCGAATTTTTATCGTTTTTTCCATAATTCGCATTTTTTGATTTTTGAAAAATACTTTAGAGCTTTTAAAAGAGTTGTTTTGGAAAAAAGTGGCATTTTCTAAATTTTTTAAAAATTGTTGATGGGCTGCCAGACGTTTCTTCTCCTTTTTAATAAAAGTTATGTTCGCGCTCTACTAAAATTGCTATTAGCAAAAAATATGTTTTCTGAAAAACCCCTGTCTTCACAATTTTTTGAAAACTATTCGGATGTCGATCGTTCACTTTACTAAAATCGTTTGATTTTTGTTAAAACAATTAAATTTTTCCTGAAAATCGGATTTTCCCATCGAAAAATTATGATGAAATTAGCATGTTTCCTGAAAAAGTGGCATTTCCTTAGTTTTGGAAAAGTTAATTCGTTGTATTGTATACTCGTCATTTTTTCAGGAAAAGAACGACTTTGGCGATCTGTTGCTCTACTTGTCGTACTCGGTGACCGAGCAGAAGTTGTGGGTCACCGTAGCCAAGGCGTACAACCTACGGCCGATGGACATCACCGGCGCGTCCGGTAGGTATTGGGCTTAGGCTTAGGCTTAGGTTTCAGGTTAGGCTTAGGCTTTAGCCTGGGCAGGCTGGGCTTGGCTTGACTTTGGCTTAGCTTGGGTTATGCTTAGGCATAGGCTTAGGCTTGGGCTTAGGCTTAGGCTTAGGCTTAGGCTTAGGCTTAGGCTTAGGCTTAGGCTTAGGCTTAGGCTTAGGCTTAGGCTTAGGCTTAGGCTTAGGCTTAGGCTTAGGCTTAGGGCTAAGCTTAGGTTTGTTAAGCCAATCCAACTTTCCGACTTTTCAGACCCATACGTGAAGGTGGAACAGGTGTACCGAGGCCGACGCGTGAAGCTACGCAAGACTACGACCAAACGCGCAAATTTGAACCCGGTAAGAATCATTTCTTAAGGCATGGCCTAACTTGATTTAAGGTATACCACGAGACGCTCGAGTTCGACCTGCCCTCCACGCAGGCCGGCGAGACAAACATGCTGGTGCAAGTGATGGACTGGGATCGGTTGGTTTTTTTGTCATGTAATTTTTGAAAAATCATTTTTTTGTGAAACGATATCAGTGAATTTAGTTAGTTCAACCATTAAAATGCTTTTTTAGTTAAATAACTATTTTTTAGCATCGGAAAGGATGACCTCCTTGGCTGCACAATTCTCGGGCATGACAGCCCGACCTCCCAGGGCAGGACGCAGTGGGAACAATGCTTTGCATTAGCATACACCGATCAGGGACATGTAAGCAATATTTCTTCAACAATCTCTGCTAGCCTGCCCTCTCCCTTTCCTCAACAATCTCTGCTAGCCTGCCCTCTCCTCTTCCTCAACAATCTCTGCTAGCCTGCCCTCTCCTCTTCCTCAACAATCTCTGCTAGCCTGCCCTCTCCTCTTCCTCAACAATCTCTGCTAGCCTGCCCTCTCCTCTTCCTCAACAATCTCTGCTAGCCTGCCCTCTCCTCTTCCTCAACAATCACTGCTAGCCTGCCCTCTCCTCTTCCTCAACAATCTCTGCTAGCCTGCCCTCAATTTAGCTTAGACTTGGCTTCTACTTAGGCTTAGGCTTATGCTTCGGCGTAGGCTTAGCTTAGGCTTTAGCTTAGGCTTGGCGTGCTTATCTTAGTTTTAGCTTGGCTTAAGTAATTGAAGAAATTGCTATAAATCTATTTAATTTCAAATTTCAGAAATCGAAACCGGTCGGCACTTGGCACAGCATCCTCTCCGAAGTGCCCGAGAATTTCCGCGACATTCCAAAGGCGAAAAAGCGAAAATAGACGCCCCTCTAATTTACCCGCCCTCACCCGGCACTCTAATTTTGCTCATTCCCATCGATTTAAGCTAACAGAAATTGGTTTCACGACTCAATTTCCCTATTTGAATTTAAGTGGTTTTTGTTTTTGCTTAATTCTAGAAATATGCAAATTTTGGCGCATTGATTGGTAGCATTTCGTCGATAGCGCAAAACTGGTCTCTTGCCCTCGACGCCATAATGCTTTTTCGCTTTTCAAATTTTCCTGAAAAATTCAGACAAAAATTAGCATAATTTCCTTAATCCGTGCATTAATGGTAGGCTGCATTCTTGAATTTTTCGCCTTTTTTGGCTGTTTGCTTGTTTCGTGTGTGAATAAGTTTTTTGGTGTGAGTGTGTCTCTAAAATGCGGGTGCCTTGGATCAATAAATTCTTTGAATTTTCGAATTTTCTGGGTATGTAAAATATGCAAATTAGGTGAAAACAAAAGCAATATATTGCAAAAATTATATTTAGATTTAGATTTATCTGCATTTATTGTTTTTCTTGCCTTGTTAATTAAGAAATTACCCTGGAAAGCTATAGAGAAATTTGCATACTCTAAAAAAGTTAAAAAAATCAATCAAAAATTTATGAAATATTGTAAAAGTCAGTAGATATAGTTTGAATATTTGAATCGAGAGCCGATGCTATATATAAATAGTTTATTAAATTATATTAAGTCAAAAATCCAAGAGCGTCAGTTCCGTGTCGTTGCTGCGTACGGCTACAGTATGCGGCTCGATTTCCTCGACCTCTGAATATGCTAATTTGAGCTTTTCTGCCAGTTTGTCGAAAGCAATGTCGAAATATTGTCGAAAATCCCTTTTCGACGAAATTTAATGCATTTCGACAATTTCGACAAAAATGTCGAAAAATGAAAATTCTAATTTTCTACAAAATGAAAATTTTTTCATGAATTTTAATTATGCTAATTGGAAAAAGAGATAATGATGATACCTGATGCTAGATTTTCCTCATTCTCCTCCTCGTGCTCCTCGAAATTGGGATTTACATATGGGTCTTCTGGAAACGTGGATTCCTACAAAACAAAGTTCAGAAAATCTTAAGGTATTCAGTAAAGATTTTAAACGTATAAATAGGTGAATTATAGTATGCAAATGACCTTCGGATCACTAGGAAGAAGCTCGACGACGTCTTCCGATTTCTTGCGGCTGAACAGCACCGGGATGTTGGGTAGTAGATTACGGGTGGCCGTGCTAAAATTAGAATATGAAGCTCTTGCTCTCTCACTCTCTCTCTTTCTCTCTCTTCCGCTCTCTCTCTCTCTTTCTCTCTCTTCCGTTCTCTCTCTCTCTCTTTCTCTCTCTTCCGCTCTCTCTCTCTCTCTCTCTCTCTCTCTTTCTCTCTCTTCCTCTCTCTCGCTCTCTCTCTCTCTCTCTCTCTCTCTCTCTCTCTCTCCCTCTCTCAAAAACCTACAATCTCCGATACGTCCCCGTCCTCCAGTGATACCACAAAAACGTGCCGAGCATCAGCACGCAAAATAGGGTCGTCCCGAGGATTTTTGCTACTAAAAAAATTTTAATGAAAAGAGTATTTATAGCTTCAAAAAAGAACAAAAAAAAGATAAAAATTGGAATTAATCGATTTCCCACCTCGACTCGGCGTAAAATCGGTCCTGGACAGGCGCAGTCGGAAGTTGCTGAACGAGTAGTGGGATACTAAATTTGAACTTTGGATCACTCTCTCGCTTCTCTCTTGCTCTCGCTCTCTCGTTCTCTCTCGCTTCTCGCTCTCTCTCTTTCTTTCTCCCTCTCTCTCTTACGCTCTCTAGCTCTCTCTCTCTCTCTCAGGCTCTCTCGCTCTCAGTGCCTCGCTGTCACTCACTCTCTCTCTCTCTCTCTCTCTCTCTCTCTCTCTCTCTCTCCCTCCCTTACCGCTCAGCTCGAACAGCTTGACCTTGATGGTGTGTGCCAGCCTCTTGTACAGCTCCTCGTCAAAAAACCCCTCCGACTCGATGGGCAGCAGTGATACCTGGTATTCCATAGACATCGCGTCGTCGTTGGTTCGCTCCAGCGCAACGTAGATCTGAATTCCTCAAATTATCTCAGCTAGACTGCCCTGTGGGGCCGTCAAGGGCTAAACTTCCTCAAATTGTCCCTGCTAGCCTGCCCTAATCCCTACAATTTCCTCCGTGCCCAGCTCCTCCTCGGCGACCCTGATCGCCAGCGCCATGTCGGCGAATTTGATCTCGTGCGCCGCGAAATCGAGTGTGGCTCTTAAAAAAAATTTTCAAGTTCAAGCGCGACGCTCGAATTATTCAAGCACCTGCTGCTTGATCCTGGAAATTCGATGAAACACTGAAAATTAAAGCAACGGGTAAGCGAATTTTTCAACAACTTGTAGGCTTCGAATTCACCAAATATGTAGTAGAAAATCCGGTTCTTTCGCATTATCGGGGGCGAACTTATTTGTACAAGTCTAGAAATGCCTAGTGAGTTAATAGAAAGAGTTTTAAGAGTGTCTCTAGTAATATTTAACTATATTTAAACTATAAAAAGTATCTGAGGATTTTTTAAATGTTGAAAAAGTCGGAATTTCAGTAAAAATTGGCGTTTTTGGGCGAAAAATCGATATGCTCGACTTTTTTAATGAAAACTTGTGAAGTAAAGGATTTATAACCACTTCCATTATTTAAATTTGAAAAATGAGATTCCAAGATGCTGAAAGTTGGCCGACTTTTTAAAATACAATTAATTTTTACAGTAGCGACTCAGCTACGGTAATTTTTAACCTAACACAACGAATTCCATAACGGCTCCGGATTAATGCGGAATGCGATGTGTGCACTATCAAACTCGATGAAACATTGAAAAATTAATGAGAACAAGGCATTCGGTTTTGAAGGTGAATTACAGTAATTTGAATTAATTTGAAGTAAAGGTGACTAAATTGCAGTCAATCGCTTATTGCTTCGGATTGACGTATTGACACGCTTGAATTTCATGAAACATTGAACCAATTTTGGCGCCGTTTTAGCTATACCCACAGTACCCTACAGCATTGGCTGTATTCTTTGTAATTTATTACGATGTGCTAAATGTTAATTACATTTTCTGAAATCTAAATAAATCTTTGAAAAGAAAGACGATTACGATGCGTCTACTGCATCAAAATGGGGTTCAGAAACCGAAAAATTTTATGAAACATCATAAAATTAAATTTTTATGTTGTTTACGTTTTTTCCTAGTGCTCTACAGTAATACTTTATTTTATTTATTTATTTATTTTTGCATTACAGAAAATACCTATTTGAAAACGAGACGCTGAACTGAATTGATCCGGGATGCTATTCCGCCTTCTTTAAATGTTATGAATATGAAACATTGAAAAATAGAAAAGTTTAAAATGTTGTTTTAGGAATTGCTTTAACAATCGCTTTGTTGAATTGTTCTAAATACACTCCATTACAACAATATTAAACCTCGCTACACTGGACCTGAAGACCATTCCGATGCCCTTCATTTCGACGAAACATAAAAAATTCAATAAAAATACGCTTTCGTAGTTTCGGTTTTTATGGTTATTGTACAACAACCTACAGTAAATTATTTTTTGCCTTATTATGATACACTAAATAGCCTCATTTTCACTTTGGAGGTCTTTTAATTGATAGATTGATGCCCAAAGTTGATTGGTTGCGAACCAGATTCAGACGCCCATATGCTACATGAAACATTGAAAAAAACTTCATATTATTTTAGGTCTTCCAAGCTTTCCAATAATTTTACGTTAGAATTACGTTTAAGATAGTAATACTTAAAGTTTTTAGTGCAAGATTTATTACCGCAAACCGGAAAGCAGTGCCCCATCGGCTTCACGGGGTCCCAGCATCGGCCGGAAGTGGGGATGGGTGGGAAGAATTGGCAGAGAAGGTACATCATCTGAAAGGGAAAAAATTGACTTTTCACTGTAACAAAATTTATAGCTATAATGAGCTTTTAAATTAGACAAAACAATCAATAAGTCCAAGTTTTCGATTTTTTGAATTTTGTAAATATATGTTGCAAAGAATTAGGGCGCGAATCGAGAGCAGAATGTGATAATCGATCACGGGGTTTTCCCACAATTAAATAAATGTAGAAACCATGCCTAAATAATAAAAAACCCTAAAAGCTAGTCGTGAAAAATCGCGAATTCCGTGTTTTAAAGGGAATTTTATAAGGCAAAAATCCACATCCTTTATTTTACTGAAATATGGCTGAAAATAATATTAGCACAACCAAAAATAGACAAAAAAATAATAAAGCAAACTAGCCTTTTTGCGTTTTTACATAATTATGTTTCAAGAAAATAGAAGGCAAATCGAGCGCAGAACTTGTTGATTTATTCGTGATTTACGTATAAATAAAAGGCCTAATTCATGTCTGACTTCAAAAGCTTATAGATTAGAAAAAGTCTTCAAACCTGAAAAATAGGAGTTTAATAGGGTCGAAAAGATATATCACTATTATTTGAAAAATTAACTATTTTGGCCCTTTTAAATGTGTTAAATAAAAAAAAAGAAAAGAAAAAATAAAGAAAAAAAAGTATTTGCTTTTTGTGTTTTGAAAAATTGCGTTTCAAAAAATTTGGACGCAAATCGAGCGCAAAACTCAATAATTCGACCAGCTCACTTTTGGCCAGCAAGCAAAAACTAGAGTACAGTCATCGAATTTGAAAACTCGAGGTAGGTCCAAAAAGTTTTAAAGGAAGCGGCAAAGTAAAAACGCGCTACGCGTACAAAAAAAAAACAATAGAAAACCAGGTTTTGAAAAATTGTGTTTTGCTCAAAAATTAAATTACGTCTGTTTTAAAACTTGGCAATTACAGAAATGTCGCACCCTCTCTCGCGCTCTCTTTCTCTCTTCTCTTCTCCCTCTCTCCCCCTCTCTCTCTCTCTCTCTCTCTCTCTCTCTCTCTCTCTCTCTTGCACTCTCTCTCTCTCTCTCTCTATCTTTCGCGCTCTCGCTCTTATCTGAA